TGAGGCATCTGGCACATCCAGCTGCACACCTCCTCGATCACCTTCGAAATCATGGCGCACCCATACCGATGTCTACACTACCTTGGAACACACAACGACGAGACGACGCCGTCGCCCGAGGTCCCCACAAGCCTGAAAAGATGAAGTGTCCTTTGTCCGAGAAGAGTTCACTGATTTTCTCAACAAGAAATTCTGGACCATCCTACCCTATCAACTCGTGCGGCATCTACAGAACTTGCGACTCAGTCCTCTGGGCGTAGTTCCACAACGGGACAGACGGCCCAGACTGATAGTTGACCTTTCTTTCTTTGGCATCAATCAAGAATCCGTCCCAATCGCGCCATCAGATTCCATGCAATTTGGACGTGCCCTTCACCGCATCCTACAACAAATCCTCCAAGCCAACCCTCTACACGCATCTGAAACAGTTGCCTGGTGCTTTTGGGTGTCATGGAACTTGTCCTATATTGTCCAGTACTTCCGCCTTAATGCTATAGCGATATTCCCTTAATTGACAGTTTAATTGGGTAAAAAGGACAAGGACACCGTGTTTTTTATCACCACCCCATGTGAAGCCTATGTGATAGATGAGAACCCCTCGTCCTTTTTATGACAAGAAAATTGTTTTTTTGAGGAAAAGAACCTTCTCATTTTTGGAAAGTTCCCATTTGGTTTTGTCGCAGAACCTTGGGATGCGAAGCCGTCTGACCATGATTTTGATCATATGCGTTTCGATTTTCCACCCACCGGATTTGTCTTTTAAGGACATTCAACAGACCTTTTGAAGTGGACCCATTTAATTGAGAGCCATCCAATGGCTTCCTCTTTCTCATTGTCCATGTTATCGCATCAAATGGCCAACGCCTTAAAAGGACCAGATCCTTGTCAATTTATGACAACTACCATGACCTACAAAACAGAGTTTCCTTGCCTTCTGAAGAACAGTCAATGGTGATTAAAGGGCATACATATTATGAATGTATTGGAAAGATCCTTTTGATTATATCACAAACACATTTGCTTTATTTGACAATTTAATGACAATCTATTGACGAGGCTAGACCTCTGCAAACATACTTTCAATGCTTCAGGAAGGACAGCCAGCGATCCTTCAGCAATAGGTATCTGTCTCTAGTTTGCAGTAGGAGGCACTGTGCCCTTTACATAAATGTCTGCTCCACCGTGCATCTTCCACAGTTTGTACTCTTCTAGGGCCGCCCCTGCTGTGCGGGATTGCCTTCTTAACTTACCAATTGAACTCAACTTCTTGTTGTAGCTTTCAATTCCCTGTCAACTCCAACAAGATGACTTCAGCTTCAAGCAATCATCACTTGATGTGAATTTGGCCTTGAACTCCTTGCATATAGCAGCATGGTCCTTACCTCGGAGTCTTGCTGACTGTCATAGTTCTCAAGTAGCATGATGGCAAATGCCTTGTCACTCATGGTGAAGATATTGCCGATTGTATTCTGTTTTTGGCTGGTTGTGCTGAGTTTCTGCTCCGGATGGAGTTGACAAACTAATGTCTTGGTGACAAGCACCTGTAGGCAAGAAAGCAAGATGATGTTAGATGTACAAATCATTATAGTAGGTCTAGATCACCAATTGACTTGCCATTTGCAGATGTCCTCCTTGCTGCCTCACATGCAATCAATGGTGCAAATTATGGATTTTTGGCCAACCTGCTCGCCCTAATAAAAGAAAAGCAAGGCAACAACATGTTAGACGATGATCATATTGTAATAGGATGTGGGTTATGTACAAAATTACAGACCAAGAATTGACTTGCCATTTACAGCTGCCCTCTACTTCTATGACTGGTATACTCAATGTTTGTGGACGGGGTTGTAGAAAATTGTGAAATGGTTGTGTTGGTGAAAATTGTCACTTTCCAAAACCAAACCCTTTTTATGTACAAGACTACCGAAAGGCTACAAGCAGTAGAAACATAGTATGTATTTACATAATTATCTGGGCTGGTGAAATTTTGTGTAGAATGTACAACAAAATGTACCATGAGAAATTTTGGCGCACAACTCCCAAGTTCGAAAGTGGTGTGGTACCAGGAGTGAGCAGGCAAGACGACTCAAAATTGGCAGGCTCACTCCATAAACAGTCATATTTGTCAGCAGCAGCAATGGAATTCGACGTCAATGCATTGGAATCACCAGTTGTGAATCCTCCTTCTCCAGTTTTCACCCATCCCTTTCTGAAGCCAAACCATCGCACACAGTGACTGTTTTCTATCCAATGCAATAGGAATCCGTTGCTATTTTCTTCAGCCTTGGTGAAAACAGTTCTGTGTTTGTTGTTACACAGCGAGCGCGTTGCGTCAAATTCCAGTACTTTATTCTACGTTCATTTTGAACGTGGCAGTCCTAAGCCGGTTTGTCAACATTTGAGCCTTCATCCATCAGAAAAGTCGAAGCTGAGTAAACAATTCAGACCAAGTGGTCGGGTCCGACAGAAAAAGATTAGGCTCTTTCTTGGTCGCTTTGTGGGCCCATGCTTGAACGTCAGAAACATAGGAGGCTGACCATCCGTGAGACAAAGGAGGTGAAGGTCAGCTTCCATCTTGGTGCTGATAGATGGTGGCATGAATTCCCCGTTGTACTCTTCTTGTTTCAGCCGGTCCAATAGGTAGTTGGAAGAATCAGGATTGGGGATGTTGTGAAGAGGTGGTTGGGGGGCATGTGGATCATCCACTTCAAAATTAATAGTTGGCAATGTAATATCATTAGGAAAATAGTTAGCCCCATACTGGGATCCTACATCAAGATCCGTTACAAAGGACCCATTTGGATTGTTCCTTGCTTCTGACTCTATGGAAAGTTCTGCCGATTCCTCCTCCTCGTGGTCATCATCATACTCAAAGTTGACAGATTCTCCATTGTCTTCTGTTTGAAAACTAGGATCCAAATTGTTGTTGAGACGGGAGTGGATGTAATTCCTCAGCCCTTCCTGAGATACTTGAGGTGGAAGTTTAGATGGGCATGTCTGGCTGTTGATTTGTTGGTTGCTAAGCTTGCTTTCTGGAGCAGAATAATGGGCAAAAAGAGTCTTTGACACAAACTCCTGAAAATCAGCCAACACAGTGGCTTCCCAAAGCATTCCAAATGACCCCTTCTTCTTTTCTGTCTTGTTCTTTTCTTCTTCCATGGCAGCAGTGTCTTCTTCTGATCCACCGTCAGGTTCGAAGCCTGGCATAATATCAGTAGGGCTAGTGATATTGCTTACAGAGTCCCCAGCTTGAAGGGGATTGGAATAGTGATTAACCGGAGTCTTTAAAGTCAATCTCATCAACTGACTAAGCCCTGGCAAAGCAGGGGTCCTTCTTAAAACCTGGTTTTGCGGTTGACATAAGATGTTGTGAAAGACCTGATGAAGTAAGCTTCCCTTGTTTGTTGCTCTATTGCCCCTTGAAGTTTCTTTTACAGCATAGACACCGTAGTGGAACATCTCCGTACTTGCGCCTCTTGCTTTGTGGTTCAGTAGCGTTGCTTGCCATGACAAAAAAGTGCCATAAGAAGGAGTGCGGGGAGTGATAAAATGCTGATCAATAGCCTTTTTGTCCATGGATTGTGAAAAAAGGACATCACGTTGGAATGTGCAGGACAACGATGATCTTTGGGAAGAAAAGGACCTGACAACCAATGTCTCATGGTTGTCATAATGACTCTTGTGTGTCATTTGCCCCAAAGGAGTGTCAAAAAAAGGGGGCTCCTTGTGAAAAAAAGGACAAGGAACTTTTGGGAAA